CTTTTCATCAAACACATTTTGTTATTCGTCGATGACTTTTCATACATACCTGATAAGACTGCCATAAGATCTGCAGTTGTCCTCTCCTTGACAACGTTGTGTGCAACAAACCTCGATAGGGTCAATCGAATAACCCCCAGCACCCCCAGAAACTGTCGATCCAACAAATTCACTCAGCCTCATCCATTTTTTCAGGTCTTTTCCCCAATAAAGGAAGATGAAATTTCTTCCCATAGAGGTAGTCCTCTATCTGCATCATCCAATAACCAAAATCCGAGCCACAAATTTCTCGTTCCCTGAAACATTCATTTTATCTGCAGTCATCATTCTTCCTCAGACCTAAACCAAAGCTCTGATACTAGTTGTTATGTGTTATATGTCAGTTGTTGTGATATATATATATATATATAGAGATATATGCTACCTCTATTATATATGATACTGTCTCTCTCGACTTACAAGGGGAATCTCTCACTTCGTTGCTCTCTCTTCTTCTCTCTCTGTTCTTCATTCTCTACACCGAGATACACAGAAGAAGATAAACTTACAAGAGAAATAAACTCAATTTTTTATCTGTCAGAAGCCACCAAGAAGAAGTCAAAGGAGAACAATCTTCTTCTTCTCATTTCTTCTTTCTTCTGCCGCAAGAAACTTCTGCTTGCACTTCTCTTCCTCTATACCGAGAAAACCCAAAGAAAAACACAAAATTGTGACTTCATAACTAAAGGAGAGCCGCTGCGATGCCTTTTATCACACACAAGAAGATGAGAGATGACGTTTCGCGAAACAACAGGGAGTCGCGACTATTTGCAATCGGACGAAGCGAAGCTCCGCTTAGCTAGCGCAGGAGCAAGCAGAGGTGGGAGCAGTTTCGCGATCGAGGGGGAGCGAGAAGGCGGGATCGGGCTCGAGCTTAACAATATATAGACTCCTAGAAAAATTCTACACGAAAAGAAAATAGGAGGAAGGCAAGAAGAATCCAGAAGACACTGCAGCAACCCGCGAAGCTTCCCCGTATCGCGATACTTCGCGTCTCTTCCCGCATTCGCGAGAATTTGCGATCACCACCCCGCTTTCGCCTTGCTTCTGCCATAACATTTTAGAAAAAATTACATATATTGAAAATAAATATTATAACTTCAATCAACCATCACCACTAAACGAACCATTACGAAATCTATGTCATTTTCCAAATTTAAAGAATAAATAAATAAATAAATAAATAAATAAATAAATATA